AAGCACATCGCGGCGAGGGCTTACAACAAGAAGGTTAAGCAAAAGGCTTTCGCCGAAGGCGACCTAGTATGGCGAGCCGTGCTACCTATCGGGACAAAGGACCCTCGGTTCGGCAAATTCTCACCCAATTAGGAAGGGCCGTTCATTATTGAACGAATTCTTGGCCGAGGTGCATTTCAGTTGAGAGATAGGGATGGAGAATGGCACAACTTGCCAATAAACGGCCAGTATTTAAAGAAATATACCCCGTCATTATGGGAAACGGCCGAGAATGAGTTAGGAGGTTTATGATTGACAAATGAATGAAGTAAACAACACGATGAAGATGAAAGGAAAAGCATGCATTCAGTCGAAGGGAAAAAGATATTATACTTCATTTGGATTAAAAGAAAGGAGTCACGTTTACAAATAAACGGCCAGCCATGGCCGATCAAAACATATAAACGTACATATGTGAAAAAAAAGATTACATCCTAAGTCTACGAACAACGGCTTCGTGATCCCCTCGCTGGACAGGCAGATGATTCTTCTCGAGGCGATGTTTCCGCCACCCATATCTTCACTAACCACGGCCCCACCAAGGCCGTCACTCAGGACACGGGTACGGCCGGGTGAAGCCAGGACCGTCATTCCGGCCAGGGGAAGGGCCATCACTCTGGACATGGGTGCAGCCGGACGAAGCCAGGGCCGTCACTCCGGCCATGGGTGCAACCGGGGTGCCCAGCCAAATGAACATGGCCAAAATAGAATCATCATACCAGACCCTCCCATCTTCATCAATCGCATTGCAGTTTCTCCACGGCCTTAGGGAGGAAGGTCATCCCCCTCCAGGGCTGGGAAGAAATCGCGGCCACATCATGGCCTTGGCTCACGTCGACTTTCCTAGATGAAAGACAGTTGGTGGACAGCAGGAGAAGAACAGCCATCTGGATCAGGCCAAACTGCCACGACGCGAGGTTCAGCGGTTATGGTTCGACCCTGGTTTTGAAAAGGCCACACTGGGGACCATTAGAGCAGGTTAAAATGGAGGAGAAAGGGGTAGAAGAAAAGCGAAGCCCAGGAATCAACGAAAGGCTCAAAAAATTTTGAGCAAGTGAAGAGGTCACTAAGCAAGACAAGAGTTTTAAGATCAAAGAGAGGAGGCTGAGAAAACTCGAAAGTTCAAAGAGAACTTTTGGGGGGCATGGACCTGAGAAATCTGGAAGCGTAAAGAAAAATGAAGAAGTGTGGGTTTTTATATTGGCGCTAGAATTCGAAACGAAAGGGCATGGCTCACTCGAGAAACGTAACGGTCTGACAGCGTGCTCAAATGCGCGGTGACGTGTCGGAAGCCCAGAGGCCGTCGTTTCATTTGACGAGACGAAGCTACGCCTCACGTAAGTATGGGCAATGATGACTTGCACGACGTGCTTGTGCATTAAATGCGCCAACCGACCTACGCATTTAAGGCACCAACTGTCAATCACTTCAGAGGGAATGCAAGGGGTCCATCCCTTGGAATCCATTCGGTCCCTACCCACGCCGAGACCGAGGAATCCGGGGATGTGGGGGCAATGTTTGTGCCTAATAAATCACGGTCGTAAAGATGACCGAAGGAGTTTCCACTCGGCCCTTGCACCTATTCATGAACTGGAATGTAGCATTTTGTCTTCCCAGAGACAAAGGAAAAGCTGTAAAGGCATAATCATGTCGGCCTCGACCGCGGCATTATGGGTCGAGGCCGAAGGACGAAAAAGACACGGCCAAAGATATTAGAGTCAAATCACCTCGTGGCAGCAGGGTCCCACGCTTCATTTAATGAAGTAACGCCTCTGACTAGCAAACCCACTAGCAGCAAGAAGGCATTTAATGCACGAGGGAAGAAGTGAAGTGACTAAAGTCAGGATTTGGTGATAAAAATCAGAGTGGTTAGGCTTAAACATTCTTACAAATATTCTTACAACTTGAGGTCAGATCACCAACCACTAGACCAGGGCATTAAATGCGAGGTGCAGAACCCACGATCAGGGCAGCGGCCTAGATTTACTAAGATTTAAGGGGTCACACCACCATGCTTCACGATCCCAAATGTCAATTGGACTATCCACTTGCTCTGATCAGGCTTCGTCATGCAGATTTTCAGCCTCGATTACTCCTCCAGAGCTCTTCCTATAAATACCAAGCTCAAGCTACATTCAAAGGGTTCAAACACCAAACCAAAAGCCTCCTACGGAGCAAATTATATTTTCCTGTAATGCACTTTCAATACCTTTACTTGCTTTACTAGGAGTAGTGATAGATTGTAAGGAAAATCCATTCATCAATATATCGTACGACCCTTGATTTTCAAGGCGCCGGAGCACCATCTCTGTTACTCTCTCATTCACCCCATATATCATACGAC